CCGCTCCCTCATTCATCACGGGAAAGCAAACACAATTAGCTCCAAGCACTGGGGTTATTTTAAGGAAGTTGAAAACCCAGAGGGCTGAGTCAGTGTCTGTCCAATGCCAGATGCTGACATATATAGGTCTGTGGTATCACTGAACAATCTGAGGTTACATAGTTAGGCAAATGTAAACTTGCCAAGGCCAATATCTTTCAAAGGGATGATAATACTTTAATCTCCATTTGCAGCCTGAGACACAGCTGCTCCAGGCAGCATTCTTGAATTCTTTTCTTTCACATCTTTGATATAAGCAGATTGTAGCAAGCTCAATTGCTTTCCCATCCCACACCTTATAATGGCCCAGCTGAGATAAAATGCTTACTAAAGCTTGTGAATATTTTATAGTTGCATTGCAAGTTCTCTGATGACGGTGGTTACACCCATTTTCTAATATGGGCTCTAATCCTGCATGGTGCTGAGCCGTTGCAGCTCCCACGGAGGGCGGGGCAGTCAGCACTTTGCAGGATAGATCCCATGAAGTTTAAGGAAGTATGTCAGTCCAAACTATTTGGTGAGATCCAATGACAACATGGCTTTGGATTCATTCAACGTTGTTTATTTAAATCTTCTCCTAAGCCAGCTGTTTAAACCATTTTTCATGTCATGTGAACAATAACAGTACTATGCACACACTATGCCTATATTTAAGGTTGATGGACATTTCCCATTATAAAGCCCTGTTTTTAATTGCTTATAACTTTACCAAACTTTAACCGTTTAGGCTGAAATTTCATAGGCCAAGTATCTGCCTCAGGCTGAATTAAAAAAAAATCAGCTAGAATGGTTCTGCTATTTCTGAGAATGAGGTCAGGAAAAAAATACCTCTTTTTGCCCATACTAAAAAATTCTTACAACTGTTTCATTGAGAAGCTCTAGCGACTCCGTGCTTTGGAGCAGGGACTTGAAATTTGGCAAAGGCATCACCCTAGTTTCAGTGATGTGCCTTTTCCCATCCCTGGAAAACTCCACCCAAACTTGGCCAAGCTATAAGCCTCTGAAAATCGTAGTTCTCACCTGCTCCATAGAGGTTGGTTAGAGGCTGGCAATTTTATTCTACAAAGATGCTGTACTGAGCATGCTCCTTCCCCCCACACCTCCTATGCAGAATTACATTTTAACCAGTTACACACTTATTTTACATGATGTGAAATCTTCCTCACAGTACTTCCTGGCTTGCTAGCTACATTCTACCCAGCAGGCATAGTTCTGTGACATCAAATAACACAAGTGTCATTGCAACCCATGCTATCTATGGTTACCATTTAGAAAATCAACATATGCCAACATTTACCACACAATATAAGTGAACATACCATTGCCATTTCCCATATGCTTAGAACTGGAAATAACTGTAGTATTTTAGATTTTACATGTCGACTAAAGGTACACATTGACTTTATAATGGTGACCACTGTAGCTAGTAAATCAGGTGTTGCCGGAAGGATGTCGCAGAGCCTAAATATACTAATGAGATACATTTATTACTTATTTCTGTGCTAAATGATGTCCTCATGCACACTGGTTAGCAAGGACATTTGGAATATTATAGTGGTAAGGGAGCAACACTGTAGTTAAAGTTGCATCATGATATCTATTTAAGGTCAGCCTTTCTAAGTCCTCTAAAATCGACGTGTTTCGTTATGTTTATCTGAGATTTGGTGTTCTTCTGGAAGGTGCAGGGTAGGGTTAATGACCTAAACTTGTAGTCATTAGAGCCAGGGGTTCTGGAGATATAAGCCCTGAAAAAATAGCTATTTTTAAAGACGTTTCTAGGGGAGTTTGTTCGGTTTTGGTTTTGGGGGGATTTTTTGCCCAGAGTTGATCAAACCGTTGATGAGCTCTGGGTCAAAATGGTCTCAGTCTATTGAGTTTTACCGAAGGTAGTGCATGACACTCCCTAAATCTTTGGAGGACCCAGCTTGAGAACAGTATTTAAAACAATGTATATTTTTGCACTGTGCACATGCCAATGCAGAAAAACAGCTTGAGGGGTTCCATCTCCGCCATTTTCTAAGCTTTAAAGCTCGACTGCGGTAAGTGCTCTAAAATCCAAAAGGTTAGTTGGATTCCTTTGAAATGTGGTGTGCCTTGTGGGGATGTGGGACAGCTTTAGTGACTCAAATTTGGGGTCACTTGACCAAGGGGTTCCCAAGATTTTGTCCCACCAAGCACAGTTTATTTCTGATGCCTTGTACTGTTAAACTGAAAGGTTCTAATGACTGGATGACTCTCAGACTTCTTGATAGCTGATGTGAGCTCACCCTTCAATCAACATATGGAAGGGTAAGTTAATCACAAGCCCCCACCCAAGACAAAAAGAGTTTTGGACAGAGTGCCTGGAAGTTGCTGCAATTGTGAGTCATGGGTGACAATTTTATTTTGGGGGGAATATAATTGAAGTCTTTGGAGGGAAAAAATTAGACAAGTGAATGCATCCTGGGAAGGAATGTGTATTAGGTGGCAGTGGAGTGGGTGTGTAGAAAGGGGAAAGGATTATGGGGAGGGGTAAATGGGGATAGATGATAGGGGAGGTGAAAGAGGTTGGGGGCTCAGGTGAGGGAGACATGGCACCCCCCAATTCTGCCAGTGGAGCCCAACCTCTTGCATCCCTAGTTCTACCAGTGCACCCCAACCTTCCAGCACCCCAGAACTTTTCCACTATCACATAGTTGTCCTTCACTCCAGGCTCTGGATGTGAGTCAGGTTATAAGAGGAGGGAAGTAACAGCAATAGAAACATTGATATGTGTGGTCAGATGTTGATAGATGTTTGGCTGCGTGTGTGTGTTCCCTCTGTGTGCTACCCCAGCCCTGTGCAGACAGCTGGCACGGCAGATCTTGAGCGAACCGCCCAATGACCACAAGATTCAGTAAGGGACGAAGGCACCCAGCCAGGTTTATTGTCGACGAAGCATGGTACTAGCATCCTGCAGACTCTACCAGTCCACTAATACATGTATGCCCATAACAATGGACCAGCTCAGTGAACAGCGGGACTTTCCATTCCTCCCTAGGCTAGACAAAGATACTCCCTCTGAGATACATCTTTATACCCCAATACAAACAAGTTAGTACTGCCCCTCTGACATAGTTAGTTACTGCCCCCTAACATAGCTAGTTATCACCCATCACCTTGTACCTGTTGATTCGATTAAAACATTTTTATTACATACTGTCATCCTGGCCTTATCTTTAAGGAGGGGTCTGTGTGTTCCTGTTATCCTTGGGGAATGTTTTTGTACCATCCTTGATATCAGGATGTTCTGTTACCACTTGATATCAGGATGTGTTTGTGTGAGTACTTTGTGACTAGCACTTCTTAGGAATGTGTATTTCTGCAATATTCACCCTGTTCTTGGCAGATTCTGTGAGCAGGTCCTGCCTCATACCAGGCCTCTGATACAAGGGCTTATGTCTCAGGCTCTCTTCCTACTACAGTATGCCAGGGAGTCAAGGCTTTAGGGGGATGCATTCCCTGCTTGTGTTGAGGAGACCTGGGTACAGTAGTGGGGAGGGTGCCAGGTTTTAGGGGGGAACATTTTAAATGGGTCGGGGGCATGGCTTGGGAGGTATTCTGGATCAGGCCTGGTGGGGCACAGTGAGTGTGTGCACATGGGGGCTGGAGAGGCGACTGGCTCAGTGCACTAATAGTGGGACATGATATGTTCAACTGCCTAAATGACTAACTCCTACCAACAACATATCCGTTCATCTTAAAAAAAAACCCTAGGAAATTCAATGGCAAAAACTCCATTAAGATAGCGTTAAGGTTGCTTGGTGATATGTCATTCTCTTGCAGAATGCTGAGTTGAGCAAAACTAAAGGTCCGGAAAATGCAGAGTTAAGGTTGCCCATACTGTGAAATGGTTCTTAGATTGTACACGTGTGGTATTCTTTCTAGAGAGTTGACTAAGTGTGTGAGTGTGCACCAGAATCTGGAACCTCCTGAAGCTTATAGTACCAAGGACCAACGTGAGTATGTGCTACGTGCATATTGAGGCATTGTTCAAAGAGGATAGAGGGAAGGTGACATAGGCAATTTTTTTTTAAAATTTCTTATTTGTCCTTTAATAGCGTTACATGGGATTTTGTGGGTAAGAGTGAATGGGGCTGGCAGAGTAAAGACAGGTGTGGTCACAGGGCATATTGGGGCATTGCTGAACAAGGGCAGAGTTAAGGTTGCATGGGCAACCTTAATTCTCCATTTCCTGGTTTTCGTAAGTTTGAGTTTTGCTCAACTCAGTGTTGTGCAAAGGGACAACATACCACCAAGCAATCTTAACTCTACATTAACGCCGCTTTTTACCATTGAATAAACCTGTGCTTACATCAGATTTTCATGTTAGGGTTGCACTTGACCTTTAACATTCTTAAGAACTGGTTGAAAATGTCCTACAGAATCGAAATCTCGTTCCACTTTTTAAAATACCCTGTTATTGCACTGTGAGATTGATAAACACATAAGTGACAGAGCACTGAGAAACAGATGAGCTCATACTAGTCACTAAACTACAGACAGCTCCCAAAGTTCTGCATGCTCCTGATGACACTTCTTCCGTTATGTTAAGGCTTGAGCGGAGTTATGTCTCCTAAAGCAGATATGAGGGTTTCTGTTGCATTAGAATTATAATGAATCAGGGTTTGCCAAATAGAAGGCAAAATTGGCCAGCGTTATGTACTGGTATTGTGTGTGGATGTTCTTACTAGGAGAAATTTACCCCTCTCTATGGGGTGAATTTCACCCAGTATAAATATCCAATCATAATGACATACCTTTAAAATTATAGGAAGGTAGCAACCATCTGAAATCTGTGGCTCTCCAAAGATAACCACTACAATCAAAATTCTTTTGTGGAGATACAGCTGGTGTGTATGTGTGTGTGTGTGTGTGTGTGTGTGTGTAGGAGACTCTAAATTCCAGGATTAACAGAAAGGAAAGCATTTTAATTTCCAGTGTTAGAAAGTATCAGAGTAAAAATGAGTTGCAGTCTGCCTCTGTAAAGGTTACAATTATTTAGAATAAATCAATACATTTGAAAATGGTCATGATTGGCATCAAAGAACTCTGACCTGCAAGAAAAACAGCAAACATTTTTTCCATAGCTAAGTGTATGTCATACGTAATAATTTTGATTCATGAATGTTACATATCTTTTCCTCCCATAAAACATGTGAAAAGGGCTGATTATTCCACATATTCTTATCCGTGTGCAGTGTTTCCACACGCTTGCAACCCAACTATCGCTAAACTAATCAGCACTTGTCTAGGATAAATTCCATTTCCACCAATTATAGCTTAATTGTTGACAGATGGGAACACAAGACGGAAATATGTGGAATCATTTAGAGGACAGGTGTATAGTCTAGTGCCAGGTGAATTGTTCCATCCCATTAAACCGCTGACTTTTTTCTCTACCCAATAAAGCTTTCACAATACTTTCCTATCCATGGTTATTAAGTGAGATCTGGAAAGCGTTCACAGAGATATTTTTTTTAAAACATAGAATCCAAGTAAAACAGTCATTAGTCATTAGCTACCTTTACTGTTTACATTGTCATCTTCTCAAAATTAATCTCTTTTTTGTTTTATTTTAACATTTGATTTGATTTTGGTTTCCGTTTGCTTTGTAGGGGTTTTGTCATGCAATCACTGTACCTAGTCTGAACTTTTGGGACAGTGTCAGTTATTTTCTCATGGTTGAAGCAGGCAGAGATGCAAAAATTCATAGATTATAAGGCCAGAAGGGACCATTGTGACAATCTAGTCCGACTCATTACATGGCAGTTACATGCATGGATAGAGGGGATAAGGAAGTACAAGCCTGCAGTTGAGACTCTGAACTGGATATCTGGATTCAAATCTAGTCTCCGCTACAGACTTTCTGATCCTGGGCAAGCCACTTAGGCTGGGAGTTTGAAAAGAGCATAAGGGAGTTAAAGACCCAAATCCCAATGAAATACAGTTGGCGGTGGGTATCTAACTCCCCCAGGCTCCTATGAAAATCCCAACCATAATATTTCTATATCTGAGTCCGCATCTGTAAAATGGGAATTGTCATACTGAGCTACCTAACAAGGATGTCGTGAGCTAAATTCATTAATGTTTGTGAGTTGCTCAGCATTACAATGATGGGGCTGTCTAAGTATATAGACAATAAATGTCCTAATTTGAAGGATAAAAGAGGTCAAAAATTGAGGGAAGGGAATGTGGGTTTAAGATCGATTATCTTTATTTACTATTTGTTGCTAGGTTCTTTATAGACAGATGGTGGCAACCGGCCCAACTGTGCTCTGATATCTTTACAAATCAGGAGTAGTTCTAGTGAAGTCAACTAAGTTATGCTGGTATAAGTGCAGTCAGAATCCAGCCAAAGGTCACTTGCAGATCTTGAGCTAATTCGATGACATACCGACAAGAGGACGGAGAGGTCAAAGTGTGACTGAATGGCAAGGTAAGGCATGTGTTTTGTTAGTTCCACAATTCCTCTTGTGTGTGTGCTTAGGTACTCGTAAATGTCAATAGGACAAAAGGGTGAGGCTGTGCCAGGCTAGGCTCTATGAGCTACCTTGAAGGTGTTTCTCCCCCAAAGAGGGTCTTAAAAGAGAGCAGAGCAAAGGTAATAAGGTGAGCAGGGGGATGAGACAAGAGAAGGGAGTAATTCTCCTGAAAGTCGGGTCATCTGATCCTACAATCCAAACTCACACAAAACTCCTGCCAAAATCAATGGGCATTTTGCGTGTCTCAGAGCTGTAGGACTAGTCTTACCCTTTATTTCTTGTTCAATGGCATCCCCCTATGTGCCCCCATCTTAGCTGCATTAAAACAGCTGCATGATAAATAATTTCAGTTCCAATATATTGTTGTATATACCCCTGAATTTCTCATTATATTTTTCCACAAAGCAGATGCACCTTCACAATAGTGGCCCTTCAAAACCTGCAAAGATAAATGGGTTGGTTATATCCGTATCTGCAGTGTTCCTTTGTATTTCTTCATACTTGCACAAACTCTATTTACTTCACAAGAGAAGTAATTCTTAACAGCGTCAGTCTATCCCTCCAGTGGGTTTAAAGCATAATCCGAGAACTGAGTTTTTTCAGTGCATGACTCCAGTCCCACCCGGATCGTTTGCCGTTAGAATTCCTTATCAAAGAACTCATCAAACAGAGGGATTCTCTCCGTCTTGGTTCTCACTAGTGCAGGTCTGCGACCCAGCTTTCTCTCTTCTCTTTTCCAGTCATCCGAGTCAGTGCTAGAGCTGTCCCAAAATAGATCTTGTGCCTCCTGATGCTTTACGAACCACATTTCCACTTTACTGCTCTGGCTGGGATAGGATTCAGCCATCTCGTGTCGCTCCAAGAATTCTCCATCCCATGTATTTCCTAAAAACAAGAAAACCATCTTCTTAATTATTCTGGGTTGCACACCCCATTGCAGAGGATTTATCAAGGGCTTACTGTGGAATCGCATCAGAGGAACCCAGGGCCCAATTCCAAAATTTGTGCTAAGCAAACTATTGTTTTTCTTTTCTCTCCTTATGTAAAAAAAATTCTCAGACTGTAAGTGTTAGATGCTGTAGCATATAGGAAAAGGATAATGTCCCTTTAAATAGTTTCTGAGCCTTCTAATGGTGCTCACCATGTTTATGTTCAAGAAGCCATCAGAAACCAGCTAATGTAGCCATCTGTATGTAATTAGGTTCTGAATGTTCATAAATATTTAGTAAAAATGATTATTTGAATCCAAATGTGCCCATTGTGCTTTCTTTATAGTGTTGTTGTGTAAAGCAGTGGTTCTCAAACTAGGGCCGCCACTTGTTCAGGGAAAGCCCCTGGTGGCCCGGGCCGGTTTGTTTACCTGCCGCGTCCGCAGGTTCGGCCGATCTCTTGGCCCACACTGCTTCCCGCAGCCCCCATTGCCCTGGAGCAGCGAACCGCAGCCGTGGGAGCCGCGATCAGCCGAACCTGCGGACACGGCAGGTAAACAAACCGGCCCGGGCCACCAGGGGCTTTCCCTGAACAAGCGGTGGCCCTAGTTTGAGAACCACTGGTGTAAAGAGCACAAGACACAACAGATACATTCTGGAATAACTCCAGTACTAGAATGCCATGTTTATTATTAGACCTGGTTGAATAATAGATTTTTTGGTTCATTGCAATTTTGAAAAATTTTAACAAAATGTTTCAGGTCAGACTGAAAACAAAATTAAAAAAAAATATGTTGGTGAATTAAAATGTTGCATTTTTTTTATTCCAGACACATGAAACCTTTTGTCTCAACAAAATCAAAACATTTCATTTTGATTTCAACCATTTTAAATTGTTTTTTGGATTTTTAAAAAAATAAAATTAAAGGAAAATTTGAAATGAAAAGTCATTTTGAACCGAAAAATCAAAAAGTTGAAAATGACCAAATGAAATGGTCTGATGTTTTCAGAATATTTTAAATGAACGATTCAGCAAATCGACATGAATTTACAAAATATTTCAATGTCGCCGAATCTGCATTTTTCTTTGAAAAGTTTTGACCAAAAAATTTCACCCACCTCTATTTATTCTGCTGTTTCCAAATTTTAAACCAAATATTGTTTTTATGTTTAGTCATAAAGGGGGGAGATTTTATACTTTTATGTACAACGTTTGTTCATTCCCAAAACCCTTTTTTTATAAGTGGTGTGAATTGGTCCCAAAAGCTGTGGAGCACGCGGCCCTGATCCAGCAAAATAGTTAAGTACGTGCTTAACTTCATGCACATGACTGGCTGCAATGAAGTCAAGACCAAGTTCTTATGTACTTTGCAGGGTCAGGCCAGAGTGTTGAACACCAGGCAGGGTTGAGCTCTATATTTGTAGGTGCATAATGATTAAATATATGGTGTGATAAGAGGCAGCATAGTTTAGTAGTTGGAGCATAAGGCTGGGAGTCAGGACTCCTGGGTTCTATTGCCAGCAATCATGTCTGCCTATCAAAGGTATTTATATGCCCCCCACCCCATTATGATAGTGTCTGAGCACCTCACAATCTTTAATGTGTTTATCCTCACAACACCTTTGTGAGGTTGTGAAGTGTTTTCCCCCCATTTTACAGATGGGGAACTGAGGCACAGAGACTAAGTGGCATACCCAAGGGCACACAGGAAGTCTGTCGCAGAGCAGGGAATTGACACCAGGTGTCCCAAGTGCTAGACAAATGTCCTAACTGCAGGCCCGTCCGCCCGTTCTTGTAAGGTATCTCAGATGGAAAGCACTGTCTAAGTGGTAAAAGAGGTAATAACATCCCTGGAATGTCTCTCTGTGTCTCCCTCTGAAGTCTACAATATCTATTGAGTCAGTGTGAAGCGATGGACACAGCCGTAGGCATGGCTGAGAGCTCTTTTTGTTCAGAGTATCACCAAGTTCAATCATTACTGGGATTCGCCGTCCGTTACCATCCAATATTTAAGTTTTCAACCATTTTGACTTTATGAATTACACCCGTACTGTGTACAGCTACAGCAAGGCATGTACCTACACTACGTCAAGCATCCTAGACCATTGTGATATCAGAGGTAATGCAACCAATCACCACCCTGACTCTACAGCTAATTTGCATGGCACAATTTCATTGGTTGTATGAGGGAGCCTGCACAGAGAAGAGAGTACTTGGCCCAGCTGCGCACCTGTGGACCCAACTGCCACCTGCATTAAAGAACACAAATTTCCCAGCACAACCTCCCAAACATAAAGCAGCACGACCACCCACACGACAACACAACTAGGACACACAATAACCCGAAACACACACAGCCCTTCCCTGCAGCACAACCCCCTCACTCTCTGCCTGTAGAAATAAACACAAATCTCCCAGCACAACTTGCTCAACACAACAGCCCACGCAGCATACCCAATAACCCCAAACATGAATCTGAAGCCTAGAATGTCTGTTGAGTCAGTGTGAAGCGAGAAAAACAGCTACAGGCATGGCTGAGAGCTCTTTTGGTTCAGAATATCAGCAGGTTCAATTGTCACTGGCAGATGCAGTCTCTAACTGCCCATTTTTTAATAGCTGAGACATTTTCAGCTTTTTTGCAGCCTTGACTTTACAGCAGTGAGATCTGAATCAGGCCCTTGAGTAGTGTGAAAAAAAATGTGAACAGAGTTAAAGGGTTCAGAGAAGCAATTCCGAACGAGTTCTTCATCAAATGAATTAGAGGGGACAGGAGCCCGCTCCACTGTGAATTTGTATTAATTGCTAGGGCTGTACCATCTGTGTAGCGTAATCAACGGCTGACTACAGTGCATCCTGACAGGTAGGCTATGGCGGAGTCACTGCTCCATTGAGTACTACGCACATGGACTGAGCAGAGCCGTCCGTACAAACTCTTCATCAAAAGGAGTCAGACGCTCCTCAGTATCAAAGGCCTCTCTGTGGAACAGCATCACTTCAGGGTTAGCCGGATTTTGTTTTGCTGTCCCTGGCTGACTCCAGACCCTTCAGTCGCAAGGGCCTAGTTCAGGGTATTCCATCAGGAGGCAGGTTGTACTCTCCTAGCTAGCCGAATGGCAGCTTGTGTTATTTTCAGCGCACTCCCTGAGCAATGTGGTCCTGGCATGACCTGTGAATGCAGTGATCTCTGTTCCCCATGAATATGCCTATACAGTAGAATGTGCCTTGCGTGGCCATCCAACCAAGCAGTAAAAACTGGGCATCTAGTAGAAATAGCCTGTAATTAAATGTTTAACCAAAGTGTACCAGAAACCACAGGGTGCACTTTAAAGGGTTTCTTTAGGACAACAGGTTGCCTTTTGAAGGTGGCTTTAGTGCAGCTATTTAATTAAAATATCTTTTGCCAGCCGTATTCAGTTGTGACTCCCCTTCCTCTCTGGTCCAGCAACACTCCTGAGTCTTTGGGGTTCTTCACCATCTTCCCCTAGAGCTAGTGGGCCTGAATCTGATCTCAGATTCACCCTCACTTTCATCCAGGGCATGAGGCTAAAGGTGAAATTCAGCCCTGTGCAGGTGGCCAGCAGAAGCCTGTGTTGAGGGCTCACGTAGGATGAAAGTGGAGCCTGGGCCTTGGCACTCCAACGCTACAGACAGATAAATTTCATCCACAGAGACCCTCACTCACCTACACACCAAAAGCTATACCCATCTGTGATGGGGTGCCTACCCCACACAGGCATAGCAGGGGTTTCTCATGCCCTGTCCCGGAAGAAGCAATGGAGGTGAGTCCTCCAAGGGATCCAGAGAGGCTGCGTGAAACACAGCCAATCAGGGAGGGAATTGCAGGGAGCAACCAATCCAGGCCCGGCAGGCTCAGATAAAAAGGGCGCTGCAGAGTAAAGTAGGATCAGTTGCTGCTAGGAGCCCAGGGAGTAAGGCCTGCGTCCCTGGAGGACTGAGAGAACTAGAAGCATCTTGGACAGAGCCGTGACTGCCTCCTAGGACTGAGCTGCTGAGTGCCCTGAGGTGAGGGCGAAGAAGGTGCTGGGGCCATGGGGAAGTGGCCCAGGGAAACAGAGCCGCATTGACAGAGGTTACAGAGGAGGAGCAAGAGGCTGCTATTTACAAAGTCGCTGGGTTGGAGCCCGGAGTAGTGGGTGGGCAAGCCCAGGTTTTCTACACCCCCCCCCAACTCTCGCCACTGGGAAAGTGGCTGGGCAATAGGACAGTGATATGCACGTTGCCCCCTCCCTTTCTCCCCCCAAGAAGGCAGAAACAGAGATGATGACCTCACTGGAGGGCTGAGTTGCAAAGAGGATGCTACGGTTCTGGGAGCTGAGAGAGGAGCCGTAGGCGGGAGCAGAGACAGAGTGCCGATGTGAGTGTTGGCCTTGAGCTAATCCCCAGCATGACCAGGAGGAGGCACCAGTCTAGCGATGAGGACTGCGCCCCGTGACGCCATCCCATTGCTAAGGAGACATGAGTGCAAACTGGACAGACTTGTTTGAAATTTGGACAACTATGGCATTGAAAATATAAGCAGAATTTCTGGAAGCCCCGTTTTTTTTGGTTATGCCCATAAGGTTTTCCTAGAAGTCTAACTTATCACTGCTTTTGCTCCTTTCTCTTCCCCAGCGAGGCTAAGGAAGCAAAAGCATTACATGTTACACATACCGTTCTGGCCATGAGCTTTCTGTTCCCCGCCTCAATCTGTGTGTATCTTGGATTCTCTCTTCACATGGGCCCAGCCTGCTGGTCTTGTACAAAGACCAGAGTTATGCTGCTGTGTGCCATCCAGAGCGCCAAACACGTGGTTCTGCCACGTTCACCAATGGAGCCAGGGGAAAGAAGGCAGCTGCTGAAGAAACTACTCTGGGAGAGGTTAGATGAGTCAGCGAGAAGGGGTTGTAGCTGGCAAGGGTGGCCAACTACCCATGTACATGGGCCAGAGGCAACCAATCACTGGTAATCCAGTGGGTGCTGGCAGCTTTCCAAACGCCTCTTGCGCAAATTGAAGCCTTTGCCAAGAGAGCTGTGTGGCTCAGGCTCAGACTGGGAGCAAGAGAAGGCCAGTGTTGATGTACAAGGTAATGTCACAGGCTGGCTGGCCCCTTAAGGAGACTCCGACTCACCCTTGCCTGCGATGCTCAATGATTGGCTACCGTTCCGGCTAATCCTAACTGGCTGGCGATCAGGTAGCCTTGGCTAATGATTGGACACCCTGTGAGAGGGTTTGCACAAATGACTGGGGGAGCTCAACTGGAGAGAAGAGCTTCAGGAGAGAGTTCACACCTTGGGACTAGCCTTGAGGGGATTGAGCAGCAGAGGGGAAGGAGACTCCTGAAGTGGGGCTGAGTGAAAGCCAACCCACAGGTAGATGGCTTTTGCCTGCTGTCTATAGGGTCCCTGGACTGGAACCCAGAGGAGAGGGCAGGCCTGGGTTCCTCTACCAGCTACCGGAAAAGGTGGTGTATAGACCCCGAGGCCAAGGGTGGAAGGACTGTTGAGTCGGGACTTGGACCCAAAGACTCAGCTTGAGGCCACAGGACTATTGTTTGTTGGCCTTTCTGTTACCCCAGTCGTATTGTTAGACGGACAAGCTTTGGGTGTTCTGATTGCTTCACTGCACCATCGAGAGGATCCAGAGACCTAGTGTAACCCACACATGTCCTGGGTGTGGTGTTCTGTCCCATCTGAGGTCACTTAAAGAGAGAGATTAAATGAGTCTGCTCTACAGCCTTAGCTAACAGCCCGTTGGTTTTTAGCTCATGCGGTAGAGCTCATGCACTAAGCACCAGAGGTCCCCAGTTCGATCCTGCCTGCCACCGACCGGGGTCTGTCAATGTTACACTAGCAAAGAGCAACTGTTTGGTACTCGTATTATCACAGAGCCTAGGAGCCCTAGGCATGGACCCGGACCGCATTGTGCTAGGTGCTGCACAAACACAACAAAGAGACAGCCACTGCCCCAAAGAGATTACCATATAGACAGCCAGAGGCTGGGGAAGGGATAGGACACACGAGTAGAGTGAACAATGTGATGGCAGAAAATGTCAAGTCAGTTCCATGTGGGGTTCTCTCATTTTGTTTCCTTTATGTGCATATATTTAGGAGAGGATCAGCTAAATGGACAGAAAAGGGAAGGGAGAGGAGACAGTGAGGGAAGTGGGTGAGGGGGGCAGGGGAGAGGAGGGTAAGAGGGGCAGGCGTGGGGTGACACAGAGGAGGAGGGGGAAGGTTGAAGCAAACAGCCAGTCAGCATGGGGCAGAGAAAGTCCAGAGAGCTGGAAAAGCCTGCCCCAAACAGGTACAGGATCAGGCCCCATGTCTGTCTCCTTGTTGCATTTAATTTCTCAAAGGGCCCTGGGCTGGAGCTCAGGGAAGAGGGAGAACATAAGAACGGCCATACTGGGTCAGACCACAGGTCTATCTAGCCCAGTATCCTGTCTTCTGATAGTGGCCAATGCCAGGTGCCCCAGAAGGAATGAACAGAACAGGTAATGATCAAGTGATCCATCCCCTGTCGCTCATTCCCAGCTTCCGGCAAACATATCCTCCATGAATTTATCTAGTTCTTTTTTGAACCCAAAAAAGTTGCTGGAGGACCTGGGCGCCCCACCAGCCACTGGAGAAAGGGGTGCAAAGACCCCAGGGACCAGAGGTGAAACAAATACTGTTTCAGAACTCAGGCCGAAGAGATGGCTTGAGATTGTTTGTTGGACTTTTTGTTACCCCAAAGGGGCTACGGGGGGAGCTATAAGTGACCTGGCCGGAGAGAACCAGCAGCGGACTGCAGAGCTGCTTTTCCCTGCGTATGTGAAAGAGGAGGCCAGGCACAGAGAGCTAAATAGGTCCTAAACTTGGGCCCATAGTTGTGGTTGCTCTAACATACTCAGAAGCCATTAACTAAGAAGGTACAGAGATTCCTCCCTATGAGGCTCCCCGACTTATTGCAATGCTGCCATATTTAATTCTGCTTCCTGGAGGCCATTCTGAACTCCATCTTTACGACATGTAGGATGCATTCCAGGAGACTGAACAGCTGCAGGGGTTTAAGGCAGGGGTGGGCAAACTACGGCCCATCGGGCCATTTAATCCGGCCCTCAGCTCCCGCCAGAGAGCGGGGTCAGGGGTTTGCCCTACTCCGGCACTCCAGACAGGGAGCGGGGTCGGGGGCTTGCCCTGCTCTGTGAGGCTCCCAGGAAGCAGCCGGCATGACCCCCGTCCGGCTCCTACGTAGTACGTGGAGGCATGGCCAGGCGGCTCTGTGCGTTGCCCCGTCCGCAGGCACCGCCCCTGCAGCTCCCATTGGCCACGGTTCCCAGGCAATGGGAGCTGCAGTGGTGGCGCCTGCGGATGGGGCAGATCACAGAGCCGCCTGGCCGCCCCTCGGAGCCGGAGGGGGGACATGCTTCCAGGAGCTGCTTGCAGTAAGCGCAGCCTGGAGCCTGCACCCCTGAGCCCACCCCGTGCCCCAATCCCCTGCCACAGCCCTGATCCCCCTCCCACCCTCTGAACCCCTCGGTCCCAGCCCAGAGCCCCCTCTTGTACCCCAAGCCCCTCATCCCCAGCCCCACCCCCAGCCAGAGCCCTCACCCCCTCCATGCCCCAACAGCCTGCCCCATCCCTGATCCCCCTCTTGCCCTCCAAACCATTGGTCCCAGTCCGGAGCACCCTCCTGCACCCCAAACCCCTCACCCCCCCACACCCCCCCAACCTGGAGCCCCCCCACACACACACTGAACTCCTCATTTCTGGCCCCACCCCAGAGCCCGCACCCCCAGCCAGAGCTCTCACCGCCCTCCCGCACCCCTACCCCCAATTTTGTTAGCATTCATGGCCCGCCATACAATTTCCATACCCCGATGTGGCCCTCAGGCCAAAAAGTTTGCCCACCTCTGGTTTAGGGCCACCAGTCACTGGCTTGCTTAAAATGAGAAACTTCCAAGCATCAAATAAGTTTTCATCTCATGGGAAAATGACTCTACGTACCCTGGTCTCCATTAAAAGTTTGATCATGCTCAATGGGGACAAGGTCTTCACCTTCAGAGCAATTGTTTCTCTGAAGATTTTCGAGGACTTTCTCAGCCTTGAGCTCCCTCGTTTTTTGTTTGTTGATTTTTTCCTCCCTGTGGAGACTTCTCTTCAGTTCCTCCTGGCTTTGTAAATGATTCATCTGTATGAGCAACAGAGGAGTAAATAGGTAACTGTTTTCCAAGGGTTTAACGTCTAAACTCAGCATAGCTTTAGGCTAACGATCTAATTCTGCAAACAAATAGGCACTTGAATAACTTTATGAGCTCAAATACAAGTTTGCAGAATTGGGCCCCATCAGATCGCAAATTTGCCTGAGTTCTCAGTGCGATGGGTTCCCCCCGGGGTACCACCTGGAACCGGGGTATCACTGAGCTTGCTGACCCACCAGCTGGGCTCAGTGATACCCCAGTTTCAGGTGGCACCCTAGGGGGGGAACCCGTCATACTCAGGTCATCCACAGACAGTGGTCAAGCGAGGGCTAATATTCCAAATCAGGAATAATTGCTCAGTTTTTCCAGGAAATAACAGATATTAGATTCAACTGTTATCTGAGTCCAGTGACCAGCTGAATAAAAATACTAAGATCTGTGCTCCCCCCCCCCACCCAGTACTGATATTCTTGGCCTCGTTCCCACCATGTAATTAAAGAAAAATACAGAATACCAAGCTCTTGTCTAGCACCTTTCTTCTGAAGGTCTTGAAATGCTTTACAAAGTCTCATTATCCCCATTTTACAGATGGGAAACGGAGAGCATGTGCCCAAGGTCATCCAGCAGAGCTAGGAATAAAACCCAGGTCTCCTCACTCTGTCCAGTGCTGGAAACACTGGCTCTCATAAGGCCTGACTCTGCCTTGAGGAGAGGGAGGAAAAGGGCATATAAAACAACATCCACCAGGCAGGACTGAACGTGAGATCTCCACCACTTCATACGCCACTATCACTTGAGCCATTGGATAACTCTAGCAGCTGCTACCACAGCGGGCCCTTAACATTAAGGGGACAACTAGTGGGGGACACAATACACTTAAGCCAGCAGGCTCCCTACTGGCAGAGAGACACAGTTTAAGTTCTGAGATGAACACAAGGCTTTTGTTCTCTAAAGCATCAGCAGACACACATACTGAAGGTCAAATAATTAGTTACATCAATCCAATCCCACTGGAGTCAATAACAGAGGAGAACGTGGCCCAGAGAACTGCTCTTCAGGCACCATGGATGGTTTCTAAGGCCAGGTGCCAGCTCCCATTGTCTCTGTGATTCAGTACATGGAGTGGATGTCATCAGAAAATCATTCATTTCCCTTTTCCAGTTGAGTATTGGGTGGCACAATGGCAACCACAAAGATGAGGACAAAGGGGAAGCCACAAGAGAGACAATGAAGACAAAGGCTGGTAATATAGACTCCAGCCAGGTGGAGAAATGAGTCTGAGCATCTCCCTTCCTGAGCTGAATCCAGATGCAACAGCAGCTGGACCACCAGACCTACTGGCTGACTTCAGCCTCGCTGAACCCACGCATGGATTTTATCATTCCAGTTCCCTCTTTCAAACACCTTCAAAACCCACCAAGATTGCAGCTTTACCTCTTCTCGCTTGCGGTTCATTTCTAACATCTGCAGCTTGTGTAAGTGCTGTCGTCTTCCAGACGTATATTTTGCAGTTTGCACGCGCTTCTCCAGCTCCTTGCACAGTATTAAAAAAAAAAATGCAATGCTTGAAACAAACTCACCAGCTCACAGCTTTAAAATCCAACCCCATGCCTTTCAATGCGTGAAGAGGCCACTTACCAGATACAGAGGTCTGTTGCCAACTCTCTCAATTTTATTGCACGTCTCTCAATATTTGGCGTTTTTCTTAAAGCTCCAACTCTTGGGATCAGGTTATTACTTAAAAATCTCAGTTTAAATTAAAAAAAAAAAATCCAACCCAAACAGTTTCTGGCCCTTCTGGTTGCAGAGAAGTTTAAAAATGTGACTCCCAAATTGGCCAACAGCTGGTGAAAAATTAGAAGAACTCCCACATTACTGACTTTTAAATAATGAGATTTTAAAAATCTCATGGTTTTTGGGGGGGTGGGGGGGCTGGCTCATCATTTTTGAGTGACTGGGGTTGACAATCCTGCATTCTCACTGTCCTCTTGCTCTGATAGATAAATACCACTAGAGTTTGTGCTATAGCTCTGAGTTTTACAGAGCAGTATATTAAGTCACAAGCGGAAAGCTGCAATTCCTATGAGGCACATTTTTGGATGCTCACCTGGAGACAGCTGATTTTTTTCAAAGGTGCTGAGCATCGGCTGCACTCATCAAAGTCAATGAGGAAAAAGCGGGTTCAGCGGTTAAAACCAAAGGAACGCTAACAGCTGTAAAATCCAGTGCAATGTCACCAACGCACCGTGAGGACAATTGCCGCATACAGAGAATGTGGTTTGCCTGCTGCTGGAAGCCAATTGCTGAAAATCAGGCCCCAACACCCAGACCACCTAAATACTTTTGGTGTCTAACTCCTGATGAAATCAATGAGAGAGAGGCACCTAGCTACCTCTGAGGATCTGAGCCGTAAATGTCTCACATTGAATATTCACTAACAGAGGGACTCAATATTAGTGAATGTTGTTTTGACCCCTTAGCTTACCGATGCTAGACTGCAGTTGCTTTAGCTAGATCTAGGGTGACCAGATGTCCCGATTTTATAGGGAGAGTCCTGATTTCTGGGTCTTTTTCTTATATAGGCTCCTATTACCTCCCCCACCTCCTGTCCCGATTTTTCACATTCGCTGTCTGGTCACCCTAGATCCCATCTGCCAGGCTGCTCAAACTTAAAGATGAGGGAAGCCGCAATCTCTTATTTTGCACCTGTAAGAGGCCTAAAACTACTCCCCCCCAGAGTCCAAAGGAAGTTTACTTTTGACTTCGATTTAACCAGGATCCAGCCCTAAATGGAACACTCCAGCCCCAGGCAACTTCCCAAAACAGCTGGTCAAACTTTTTTCCCCTCCCCTCCCCTCCCCTCCCCTCCCATATACACATTGTTGTAGTCAGTCTGCTCACCAGTGCAGCGCTCAGCTAGCCGAAGCTGAGAACGCCTGGGATAAACAACCACACGGTCTGTTCTCATTTGCGCGGGTGCAACCACGTCGGCTTTGATGGGGTCATGTGAGCGTAATAGAGAAGACTATTTGGCCTTAAAATGAGACCTCTCCTAAGTGACTATGGAGAAAGACGGGCACAGCACGCCTGGTGGGAAGTGGCTGACTATGGACTTGATCTAAAGCCCATTGAAGTCAGTGGAAGACTCGCACTGACTTCAGTGGGCTTTAGAGCAAGCTCTGTAAATGATCAAAGCACATGTCTGGAAAGCTGTGGGCTACTTGAATTTCCCAGCGTGCGGTGCAAGGTCAAGGTGCGACTGTGCCAGTTTTACCTGTATTGCGGGGGACACCCACCTTTGCTTTTCGGGCTGCTGCCCCTTCCTGCTGGCTGAGGAGCTTTTCAGAAGTGATTACTTGTGGAAGGTCAGCGGGTTCCAGCTTCTGCAAGTCCAATATTTCTAACAGTCAGCGTTCCTCATGCCATGCGATCATAAAACACAAAAGCCAGACATTAAACGGTCTCGACATTTTTCCACAGCTCATAGGCCCAGAATAGGCACGAAAGAGCAGTATGCTTAATAAATACTCCAAGATCTCTTTGGATCTCAGCATCTGTTGGCATTTATTCATGGAGGGCCATAGTATGAGTTGCCAGAACTGAGGAGAAACACCTGAGTTAGCGTTTAACACAAGCTAAACTTTAAAGATGTGTGCTTCTTTTCAGATTGATTGTTCTTATTACCATGTATTTGTATCACTGTAGCGCCTAGAGGCACCAGCCGAAATTGGTGCCTTAGTATGCTAGATGTTGTATGTACACATAGCAAGAGACAATCCCTGCCTCAAAGAGCTTACAGTTGAAACAGATGTAGGGCGTCAAGGGAAACTGAGGCATAGAGCGGTGAAGTGACTTGCCCAAGGTGATGCAGCAGATCAGTGGCAGAGCCAAGAGTAGATGCCTACTGTCCTGAGTCCTAGTCTATGGCCCTATCTGCTAGACCATGCTGTCACAGTTCAGGGCTCCTCCACCTATATTCCCCTCCATGTTCCACTCTAGGCTCCCAGCTGTAACCTCTCTTGGGCAGAGACCCACCCCTCTCTCCCTGCTGAGCAGGGTTTTACCAGGCTGCATGGTTCCCTGCCTACACTGTGATATCCCCAGCAAGCCAGATGGCTTAGACACTCTGTGTTGTGCTTTTCTTTTTCTTCAGAGGCGATGAACAGCGTAATTGCCCCCAGCTAGGAGTTTCCACACAGCTCTTTCTTGGCAAGCACATTTATTCTTAAGGGGTAAACACTACAGAGAAAACATTAAAAACAGAATTCCTATACAAATGCTAACATCTTACCTGAGGTCACCCATCAGTCTCATGGGGCCTCAGGAGGCTAAGGTCCTTCCAACCCCTCCTAGGAAGGATTGGGGCCCCTGCTGGACAGAAATTCCTGTCCATTGAAAAATGGCCATGAGTTCCTTTCAACTCAGGCTATTTATCCCAAAGTCCTTTCTTTGTCTGTTGGTCTCTGGAGAATCCAGATTGAACCAGTTTACATGATAGCTCTATGGAGGTGTCATACACTGAGTGAATTTGCCTAATTATCCCCAACATATTCTTAGCTCTAGGTGGGTTGTGGCAATGCTCCCCCATGGAATTAGACAATCCCTGGCCCACAATGACACACAAATTTAATACAGGAAGATCTCCCAATGATATGGTGGGAAATTACAATATCTGTCATACACGCTGCTTCTCTTCTAATGTTATGTCCAGTAGTACCTTATTCAGTGGGACTTCTCATGGTGTAAGGTATTATTCGAGGGGAGGGAGGGAGGGAAAATCAGGCCCTTCGTCAGGATCATTTTATTCACATGAAAGCACACTTTTTATTTCTTAATAGCACTGACCAGAAAATTTCTCCAGGACGTCTTTTTCCCATCAAAATTTCTATTGATGGAAAGTTTCCAAGCAACTTTTGTCTCAGATCTTTTATTAAAGCTAAATGCCATACAGTTGTGTTTGAAATGATATCTGCCATCAAGGTTAAAAACTGCAGATCCCTTTACCGACAGCTGAGCATGGAGTTTCTTTTGAAGGAATTAAGAGACCTGCTTAAAATGGGCAAAACTGCAGAGGGGTAATAGAGGTTTTATTGCTCTGGTACCTGTTTGTGGCATTGGGGTCCCAATCCTGCTCCCATAAAAGCCAGTAGGCATTTTGTCAATGACTTCAATGGGAAGAAGACTGGACTCATGCTTAATGATGGACATTAACTTCCAGGCGTATGAACACGCCCTAAATTGTGACTGTACTTTAGCCAGATATAATGAATCAGTGCAAGGACTTCTTGATTTGCAAAGAAATAAAGACAGTAACTTAATCATAAAAAGGTTATCACTTAAAGCAAACCGGAAAATTCAGAGTTGAGTCCATGATGCTTTTCACTGGCATTGTAGCGGGTTGGGGGGGGGGTGTTTGGCTCCGTCCAACCTAACAAAGACACTTAGGACCCAATTCCAAGCCCACAGCAGTCAATGGGAAAATCTCCATTGTTTTCAATGGGCTTCGGCTCAGCCCTGTAGACGTGATTGTAATGGTCATTTCTGCTTTCAAATAATATTCTTCCTACACTTGGTAGTTCATCCTAAAACCAGTGGCAGTGCCGCTATAAACCTCTGAGCCTCCTATGGTATATGGCAGAGGTCCCTTTCTGTGACTCTCATGGTGCTCCTGACACGCGTCAATGGGAACCTTTAAGGATCTAGGCCAGAGAGATTAAGGCCACCATGTGTATTCAGGACAGTAATTATGCACGTGCTTAAATATTATCCAACACGAGGATGACCTGAAGCATGTGCTTAAGTGCATTTCTGAATTGGGGCCTAAGCCCAAGCTGTGAGTTAGGTACCTTGGAGGATCTGGGCCTACGATGACTTACCAATGATCACAAAGAGCCAGGAACCGAGCCCAGGTCTCCTAAATCTCAAGCCAGTGCCTCAACCAGAGGGCAATCCCGCCTCTCACAAACTTGTCCTAATAAAAAAGTTTCCTGTGTTTTTTTTGTTTTTCTTCCCTACCCCTCGTGTCGCCATTGACACTATTTTCTTTAGTGCCTGAAAAACTAATCTGAAGTTGTACTAATCTAAGAGATGACACTAGATGGCAGCAACTAACCCCCAAATTACAGTATGCAGTGTAGTTGCAGCGGTGTCGGTCCCCGGATATTACCTTGCACCCCTTGCCGCTCTAATATATTTTATTGGACCAGCTTCTGTTGGTGAGAGAGACACGCTTTTGAGCCACACAGCTCTTCTTCAGGTCAGACCTGAAGCTGAGCTCTATGTGGCTCGAAAGCTTGTCTCTCTCACCAACAGAAGTTGGTTCAATATAAGATATTACCTCGCCCACCTTGTCTAACTACCAATAATAGTCCAGGCTGTAAATCTTTCACCAGTGCCACCAAAACAGTGAATATAATGTTGCTAGCGGCAGGCAGATAAACTCACTAATCTATTAGCGGAGCCTACTATGGCCCAGAGGAAGGAGAAGGTTCAGGCTTTAAAGTTCACGTTTGCTGAGTGGAAGGAAATCTGATCTCTTCTTGCACCTTTGTAAATTTCACAGACTGCTCCTCAGGACCCAGCCCATAGTTGGAATCTTCTAATACCTCTTGAAAAGGGAGAATCTTATTTCTCCGTTTTGTTATGTATTACTGAAAATGTTTGACCCGGAAAGGACACTGCTGTTCTATTTTGATGGCAGTATCTAGTGGCATTAGAACAAGCATTGGGGTGGAGGGGGGGGGATAATAAAATCTCTAAGTAATAAACACTATTGACAAAAGTCATATGCTAATCAACGGTCATATTGTTTTTACACTTACTGCATCAGACCCATGCTCCCAATATGGCCGCTACTTCTGAGGAAGGTGTTAAGAACCCTGCAGCAGGCAGAGATAGCATAATCAGCAGCGCCGGAACGGGGGGCCAGGCCCATCCCAATTTTGAAAGTGGATGGGCCTGACCCATCCACTTTTCTCCAGGGCAGAGCCCACCCCCTTCCTCCTCAGTACCCACCCCCCAGCCAGGCCAGCAGGCAGCTGGTGGAGCCTGGCCAGGGAGCCCGGGAAGTTGTGGGAGCCACGTGGACCCTTCCCCCCCCTGCCCCAGGCTGCCCGCCCAGCCCAGGGCTGGTGAAGGTGGAAGTCCGTGACTCCACACCAGCTCCCTACAGCTGCCTGCGCGGCTCTGTCCCCGACCCGGCTCCTGCCGGGGGTGGGGGGCAGCTCGGAGCCACATCCTGGCCTTGGTAAGAGCAAAGCTGGCAGCTCTGGGGAGCCTGAGTCCCTCCACCTGCCCTAGGCAGCAGGTCCGGGGGGCGGGGACACGGGAGGGGTCTGCTTTTGGTGCCACCCCACCCCAGCTTGGCCAGGAGCGGGGCCTCCGGGGTAAGAGGAGGGGCTTCTGGAGGGAGGGGCAGGGCCTCAGGGGAAGAGGAAGGACAGGCCCCCACTCCCCCACCCCCCTCATTTTTGGGAAGGCTCCGATGCTCTTAAGCATAATCTGCCCCTTACATTAAGTATCATTCTGATCTAATGGGGGCAGGCTGTGCCGCATCTGCCTTCTGTGGAGTTCTTGCACCTTCCACTGAAGCACCTGGTGCTGACCACTGTCAGATACAGGGCACTGGACAAGATGGACCGGGGGTCTTATCCAGTCTGGCCGTGCTTATGTTCCTAATTGTTCAACTCTGTAAAACTCTCTGTTACCATTAGATGGCTGGATCTTGCACTCAGACTGGGTATTTTCCCTTCTCTATCTCCACTCTCCCTCCAGCTCACAGTCATGCCTCTAAATAGAGGGCTGAAATAATCATCAGAGTTATTGACAGGGCAGGGATTTTATGGCCAAATTCAGCTGCCACTAGGTACTCATTGAAGCCTATCATCATAGAATATCAGGGTTGGAAGGGACCTCAGCAGGTCATCGAGTCCAACCCCCTGCTCAGAGTAGGACCAATCCCCAGACAGATTTTTGCCCCAGATCCCTAAGTGGCTCCCTCAAGGATTGAGCTCACAACTCTGGGTTTAGCAAACCAATGCTCAAACCACTGAGCTATCCCAGCCTAGCCTGCTAGAAACTGCTCAAGTGAAAAGAGGATTTTGTTAGGAAACTGTTATACTTCTTTAAGTCAGGGCTGGCCTTATGCATGGGTGACCACCCAAGGTGCTGTGGTCAGGGGGGTGCTGTAGTCAAGAGGCAAGAAGCAGGACAGGCCTGGGGTGTGAGGCCACAGAAGGGAGCTCGGGGCAATGGGGGGAAGGCAGTGGGGCCTAGGAGCAATGGGGGGATAGGTGAGGGGCCCGGGGAGACAGTTGGGGCCTGGGGGAATGGGTGGGGAGCCCAGGGACCAGGGGCCAGGGGTGCCAAAATACAAATTAGCCCAGGGCGCCATTTTCCCTAAGGCTGATCCTATTCAAAGTCTGTCTTTCACGGGGCGAGAAGGAGGGGAAGCTAAGGAGGGAAATTTATCAGGCACTTAAAGTCTGAATGAATCAAATGCTCTTGGGCCATCCACAAAGCTATCTGTTTGTGGGTAGCCTGGCTCCAGAGCATGACTGTTGTCACTTTAAGGGAAAGGTCCTTCACAGTTTACAAACATGCCAACCTTTGGCAGTGATGTTGCCCATAGCGTACGGGGTGGAGTCTGCATACAGAAGTTGACGTATGCTCAGTGCAGGACTCGAATGGGGCCTACTCCCTAACCTTGGGGGTGCCAGGGGCCAGTTGCCTGGTGCAACTTAGAGCCACCTCAGAGCTGCTCTAAATAGGACCCCACTGTCTATGAACCCAAGCGACCATTCTGGTACCTAGGGATTACCAGAGCACAGAGACACTGCAGCTACACCCACCTACTCCACTCTACCTATGGGAGGGGGTGATGTGGAGCAGTTACCCCAGTTCTCTGCCAGCAGGGGAGTCCCCCTAGCCAGCTCACAAAGGTGATATTGTGTCATAGCTGGCTCATAATCTCTGATCTCTCCTGGGGATACAAGGTCAGTGGATCTCTAAAGAGACAGATGAGCAGTGCTGCAGGTCGAATAGTTCTAGGTAAATGCTAATTGCATGGCCTGTTTCTAGATGCCTTTCTGGAAGACATGCTTTAGCCAAACCCAAATTATGGGCTCAATGCCGGGGTAGCTGGGTGAGATGTACAGGACTGTGATACACAGGAGGTCAGACCAGATGATCTAATGGGCCTTCAAATCTATGAATATCTCGACTTACACATGCTGTCCCATTGACTTGATAATAACACTGTAATGGGATGACTCACCTGAGTAAAGTTCCACGGTGGTTTGGGATTGAGGCCCACGTAATAAAAATAAGTGTCTTGAGTATCTCACTGTTTACCATCAACTACCAAAACCAGCGTGCGCTTCAAAAGGCAAAATATTTTGCAGTTTGATATAAAGATTTAATCAAGCTAGCAACCGAACAACACACGGAGTCGGTGCTCGGCTAGTCGATGGCAGAAATGCAGAATTTAACAGCTCTTCTTAGCTGTCTACATTGGAAGCTGCACTTGGCCTGGTATAAAATTGAATTTAACAGCAGCGCTGCACCTTCCTTACCTCCATCGAAAAGAACTTTTCGCCATTCAGAGCAGTTCTAGCATTTGCACGAATCTCTAGTTAGGCAACGTGTGGAAGGCAGGAAGGCTGGACCTGTGGCTAAGGCACTAGTGTGGATCTGGGGAGAGCTGGTTACAATGCCCAGTTCTGGCACAGATTTCCTGTCTGGCCATAGGCAAGCTGCCCAGTCTTTGGTGGCTCAGTTCCACACCTGTCAAACAGGGCTGCCTCACAGAGTATTGTGAGGATAAAGTCCATTAATGACCGGGCAGTGCCCAGATACTACAATGATGGAGGCCATTTAAGAAAAGAGCTAGAAAAAGGCACATAGTGGGTAGCATTGGGCTTCTATTCACTCTGGCTCCTCTACTAGGAGGAGACTTGATCTCTCACACTCTAGCAGCTCTGACGGCCCGTCCAATAGAGGGCCGCAGTGCGCAGACTTGCGGAAGGACAGGTAGACAGACAGACAGACAAAGGAAGCATCTTTTTATATAGTCAGGCTGTTTGGCATTCCCTTTGACTGCTTCCCTTTTACACGGTGTGAATCAGGATTAAGGCCACTGATGTAAATGGAGTGACACTAGTGTAAATCCAACCTACTCTCTTCACAAAATACCTTCATTTAAATAATTTTGAGTTAGAAATAATGACCAGCAGCGCTATAATTTCTTACCAATATAGTTCATTCTGATGGCTTTACTATAGCTGAGTACAGAAAAAACAAGACATACCCAGGCATGTTTACAATTAAAATGGGATGTTCCCATTAAATCCAAGTAACTCCTTAGGTAGCCTTTTAAATTCATCTTACTTGGAGTCTTCGAGGTGGATGCTGTTTAATAATACTGGTTTCTCCTGTTTCCATCATGATGTCAAAAGAAATGGGTCTGGGCACTTAAAGGAACAGAGAAGGAGAAGAGGCCAATCACAGTTTTAATACAATCGCAAATTGATCATTAACTATTAGGCTTTATTACGCAAAAGCTTCATGACCTTCTAGTTATAGTGTAACATGACCTACCGTAGCCCATCTCCCAAAATACATCAGCACATGGGGAAAAAATGCGTCCACTGGACACCAGAACTGAGTGACTATCAGCAAAAACTCTTCCCTGAATACTTGCTCAAAACTGTCAATGAATTCCCTTTATCCATGCTCACGTCCTTTGCTTTCCACAGACATTCCTGCTATCAGCTACACCTCTACCTCGATATAACGCTGTCCTCGGGAGCCAAAAAATCTTACCGCGTTATAGGTGAAACCACGTTATATCGAACTTGCTTTGATCTGCCGGACTGCGCAGCCCCGCCCCTCCGGAGCACTGCTTTACCGCATTATATCCAAATTCGTGTTATATCGGGTCGCGTTATATCGGGGTAGAGGTGTATTACTGGCACGGATAAATATGGAAAATCACATGCACCAGTATTGGGGAAAACAGAAGTTTAAATGGACATGTTTGAGTATCTGCGCTTGGCTTCTACGCTCAGTCAGGGACTAGAAACAAAGCCATCTGATTTACTTGGCCAGTCACCACCAAGTTAGGGCTTTATCCCACTCCCAGTGAAGGTATAGGGAATCTTCCATTGACTTCAGCTGGAATTAAATCAGCCCCCACCAGTGAAAAGAAAAAGCTCGCTGAAAAGGGTCTGTGTTCAATCCACAGAGGAAAAATCTCAAGGAGGCTTATTGATTATTATGAAGAACAAATACATTAGAGACAATTGATCTGCTCACAGATCTTCCATGTCTGATAGAGAGGATGAATTCATCTGATTAAAAGACTCACTCGACTCTACTGGACACACATACAATGTTTAATTATTGAACACAGAATTAAGCTTTAATCAACTATTTAACAAGTAAGGAACTAGAGACATTTGCTGCTCTGAATACATTTCACGTTTTAGTAGAAAAAGTCCCAAATAGTTGACTTTTCAAAGAAAATATTTAGCAGCCATTAAGCATATAGGGGAAAAAGCAGCTTATAACTCAAGATTGCGAAACTCTACTGTTTAGAAGCCACTGTTCTTAAATCCATAGGGCTAGTTAGTGCCTAAACAATTTCTGATTGTGAAGTAGAAATACAAAGACAGTGAGTTATTAAAATATTAGATGCCGCATAAGCTTAGGACTTAGATGCAGTGGATGGGTTAGCGGCATGGGACTCAGGAGGACCTGAGTTCTCTTCCAGATCTGATATTGAGCTGACCTGCTGCGTGAACTTGGGTAAGTCATTTCGCCTTTGTATGACTCTCATTCCACTCCCACCTTTATTAATCATTTATTTGGCTTGAGGTACATAAAAACGGCCATATTGGGTCAGACCAAAGGTCCATCTAGCCCAGTATCCTGTCTTCCGACAGTGGACAGTGCCAAGTGCTTCAGAGGGAATGAACAGAACAGGCAATCATCAGGTGATCCATCCCCTGTCGCCTAGGTAGCACCTAGGAGTGCCAATCATGAATCAGGACCCCATTATGCTAGGTACTGTACAAGCTCAGGACAGAAATAGGGTCTCTGCCCCCAAAGAATTTACAATCAAAGTCTATTTAGATTGTAGGCAGCTTAGGGCAGTGGTTGACTCAAGGGTCTGTACAATGCCTAGCACACCAGGGCCCTGATCTGGGATGGGACCCTGGTGCATGACTGTAATACGAAGCCCCGGCCTAAATTTAAGAAATTCTACTGTTTGTTTTCTCCTTTGCTCTTCAATAACGAAGATACCTCCCGTGCTCTTAGAAAGTTTAACTTAACACACGCTGAAATGAATCCCCGTGAACGAAATAAAGCATTTTGTGTAACAGACATTGGTTTGTTTAGACAGTGGCGCCAGCTAATTCGTCATTCAAATGTGATACACTCTTATTGTCCAAAACAGCACGTGTAATGGACTATGGCCCTGCCAGAGAGGACTTTTGGTAAATGAACTTGCTAAATACCCAATGGTTAGCTCTTTGCTGAACGGAGCAGTTATTTAAGTCCTGTTGCTGTCATAAAACACTCCAAATGTCATGCTGCATATCCAGAGCCGATCTGTATTCATTCCTAGACCCGTTCTGCTCCTGAAATGTGACTGCTATCAGGGTAGTGGTACATTGCCTCTCATGCTCTTAGCGTAACTATCTGCATGTAACATGGAAGGGGGGAAATATCCAACCCCGCTAAGCCACATTACACCAGTGTCTTCCTGTTAGAAACACGCTAGGGCCTAATCCTGCATCCATTTACTCATCTGAATAATCCCACTGACGCCAAAGGAGACGTATCTATGTAAAAAACAGTAGGGTGGTTCCCTTGGAGTTGTATTACTTGGTTATTCAAAGCAATGTTTCCAGTTCCACTCCGGTGTTGCGTACTCTGGTCTCGGTCCTCAGCTGGGTCTAAATCAGCTGAGCTCCATAATGATTCTCAGCTTCTTTGGTAAAGTGCAGTGAGATCTACTGATGAAAAATGCTAGATAAGGGCTTGATATTATTATTGTTACTGCTCTGATTTACATCAGTTCAGCATCTTGTCCAAACTGTGAATAATTCTTTGGGTTTAACCCAGGGCTGTGTGTGGATCACATAACTATGTACACATAGTAGAGATGTATGGTAACATATTAAGGGGTTGCTCCAGAAGTACGCCTCAGGACCTGTCCTATAACTCTTCCACATCTAGTCCCATTGAAGTCAAGATCAATGGGACTACTTTCATGTGTAAGGATAGGAGTCCTTGTGGCACCTTAGAGACTAACAAATTTATTTGAGCATAAGCTTTCGTGGGCTACAGCCCACTTCATTGGATGCATCATGCAGGATGCATCCAATGAAGTGGGCTGTAGCCCATGGAAGCTTATGCTCAAATAAATTTGTTAGTCTCTAAGGTGCCACAAGTACTCCTGTTCTTTTTGCGGATACAGACTAACACGGCTGCCACTCTGAAACATGTGTAAAGATGACTCTCACAATCAAGGATTGCATGATCTGGGCTGTTTGAGATTTAAATAAACAATTGAGACAGTTTTCTAAAACAAGCTGAAAAAAATTATTCCCCCCCACCCCCAATGCTGTAATATACAGGAAGTGTCAGAAACAGACACATGCCTAGAATAACACACACACACACACACACACACACACACACCCCTGCATTTGAGAAACCTTCAGCTTTCTACCATTTGTCTTAGTTAAAATGCAATGATTTTCTGCTGAGCCATATATCTATTTGGCAACAGAGAACACGAAGAACAAATAATCAGCCAATCCAAGCACCCTAGAAAGGGCAGTCGCTTATCCATGGACAGGTTACCTGTGGAGCATCTGCCATACAGAGTTTCTCTTAGGGGTGGAAGCTGCCTTTGAAACACTGGATTTCTCTCCTCCATGGCTGCAAAGGAGCATAAACGTCTCTCTTCCAGGGTACTGTGAAATCCACACACCGCAGCAGTGCAAGGAGAAGTAGGCACCTCCTCTTTGGTTTGCACTGGTGCCACTTTTGTCACCTTATGATGAGCCCTGGAGTAGCTCAGGCCCATTTTACCGAGTTACAACATTCAAAGAACAAAAAGTCTATGTGCAGTAGTTCCTGGACTTGACCACAGCACTGATCTGTGTCTTGGGCTCCCTTTGAAGGCAACGCCTGTTTGTAAAACTCCCAGGTTCCCTCCAGGGCAACTTTCACGGTCTGCCTGACCATACACACACACACACAGCTGATAGGGTGTCTGGGAAGCCAGTTTCCATGGCTATTCCTCCCCAAGCCTTTCCTTCCTAAATCCAGATTTGGTGAGCCCAGTTAAACATTGACCCGGGCTGGCCACTTCCTGGAGCCGATGAGAGGCTGGCTGCTATTGAATATTAAACTAATCCGGAGAAGTCTGAGGTAAATACCAAATATCAGTGAGTCTTTCTCTCTCCCATAAATATTTGCATCTGTTGTGGAAAATCGACCACACGGTAGATTTTGGATCAGCCAGCCTGAGGCTCCTTTATTGATTAACCAAACATGCCTGCATGGGGGGGTCAGCTAAGGCAGCCGAACACCCGCCCGACAGATAAAATCCAGCAGCTTATATAGGACAAAACCACAATTATTAATACACACTTTCTTATCAGCATTAGAGCCATAAATGGAATACAATATCCTTAAAAGAGAATACAGCATAGCAAACTTTCCTGTTTTTCTCAATTTGCCCTTTGCGGTTACATGCTTCCCTACAGACTAACAGTGGGCAGTTATGAATCACCAGCCTTGTGACTACAGGTAGTTCCTCTTTTGTTCTTTTCCTTTACGCTGTCTCCAAAAGTCCCTGTTTCTCCAAAAAAAAACCCTTTCTTCAGTTCAACTTGACAAATGTTCAGGCCCAGGCCCAAAATATAGGCCTACCTGGTTCAGTTAAGTTTAGGCCCAGAATTTTTCTACAACACATCTTAAAAACACTCTTACTAAAAGTTGCTCATTTAATCAGTGATTGACCTTGAGACGTTTCCCTTTGCTTCTATGACCAGCTGGTTTGTAAAAAGAGGAAAAAGAAGGCCTGTGAAGTGCCACATTTGAAGAACCGCTTACTCTTTACTAGGGTTACCATCCGTCCGGGTTTCCCCGGACATGTCCGGCTTTTTCAGCTTTAAATGGCCGTCCGGGGGGGGGGATTTCTAATAAGGTAGAAATGTCCGGGATTTCCCCCTTCCCCTCATGCAGAGTGCGGCGCGGCTGATTGGACGGCTGGGCCTGATTGAAAGCCGCTCGCAGCCACTGGGGCCTCTAGCAGCCAGAGTCCCGCCCCCTCCCCCGCTCCCTCCTCCCCCGCAGAGCAGCGCCCCAGTGTTTGGCTGCATGTGGAGCTCACAGCTCTCCCTCGGCCTGGTGGGGGGGGGGCAGGCAAGGGACAGGGAACGGGGGGG